TGGCGGCGGCGTTCCCCCGGTCTGTCGGGCGGCCGCGTGCGTTCCCCCGGCTGGCGGTGTGCGTTCCCCCGGCGTTCCCCCAAACGAATTCTTTTAAACCACCTGTTTACCTGATAGTTGAGAGCTGCTAATTCAGGGATCTGTTGAGACTAGTTGAGGTTGAGGACATCCTCAATCCTGTTGTGTCCCTTAACTTGATTCCTCCTTCGCACCTGGTTTTACACCAGTTGTATCAGTGACAAACCCCAAGCCGAGTGAGAAATCTAGAAACAAGCCGTAATTTCATATTCTTAAGGTGCTGTGCCCACAAAGAGTGTGTTGAACTTTGAGTAAATCCTTTTCCTGTTTGTTTTTTCTCTTGAACGTCAAGATCTCCATACTTAGTAGCATAAGGATATCGTTAAGGTGGATTCAACTTGTCTGAATGCTGTGTGTTGACTGGTTTCCACAGCAGCTGATTCACATTTTAAATTGCAGCATCATGACAATGATAACTGAAAAGGTGCAGTCGTGCGAGGACCCTGCCGTCCGTGCGGCTGCTGGTTGTTCCTCTGTAGCCTCTGTGTGTGCTATCTTCACCTAAGAAGCGCACCTCTGAACCCCTAGACCACTTTTACTATTTTCTCCCTTAAAATGAACTGCTGTGACCGAGAAAACCTTAGGAGCAACTGGTAGGAGAGTTCCAATGCAAGAGCAGCAGTTAGGAAACAGTGACTCATGGAGGCTCTTTGAAGCTCGAACCAAGTTGGGATCCACCTACATATTGTTTTTACAGTTTCCCCTTTTTGCCATGGCAAAGGAAAAGCAACAGAAAACCCGCCACAATTACCTGTCAGCAAACCCCCTCCTGGTGCCTCTGCTTTGTGGAAGGAGTGAGTCAGGAGCACGCCCCGAGGGAGTGCTCGATCCATGCTGAGTCAGGCTTCGCTCAGTCAGGCTTCTCAGGTCTCTCCAGGACTTGGCACTTTCGCTTAGAGGAGCTGCTGGAGTCAGTGGCTTCTGTTTGCTAGCTGAGCTGCTGAAAATGAGACACCGACCTGTGAGATGAGTGCAGGTCTGCAGGTGCATTGCGTTCTGTGAGCTTCAGGCAACAGCTTTGTGGCACGTGCCAGGGATTTGTCTGTGTGTTCCCCACCCCCAGTCTTCAGTGCTCCCCAGAGCCCTGACTCATATTGTTCTTTGGCAGGACTTTGCAAAGAACTGTTTCTTGCTTGGCAAAGAGTTTATCTCTGCTTGCCCCCCGCCCCCAGCTAGTTGAAAACTCCAGAAACGGTGAATTTCAAGCCCATTTCTTTTGAGTCAATTCTAACAGTAACCCAACAGGACAGAATGGAGGCGCCCCACGGGCTCTGGTGCTGTATTACCTAGTGAGTTGTGTGCTGGCCTAAAGGCTGCAAGTCTCCAGTAGTTCAAATCCACCTCTCCTGTTTCAGTTTACAGCTTCAGAAACCAGATAGAGGATAGCTGTGTGTCAAAACCAGCTCAAAGGCAGTGTGTTGAGTTCAAATCTTTAAAGCAGCAGACTGCCACCTCTTCCTCCTGGAGAGCGAATGATAGGATCAGGTCGCCAGCCTTGGCGTTAGCACATGGGTGCTCTAAGCACTGCACCACCTGGGCTCCTTCACATTTTCTGAGCAAGGAGGACACTTTCAGGCCATGTGCTCCCGACTCAGAAACATTAGTACAGGAAACAGGCCATTTTTGAAACGAAATTTTGAGAGCCCAGCTCTTCCTGTGTTGTCTTAGGGTGCAGGGGGCCTTGTCTTGAGCATGCTCCTTCCTTCATATGAAACCACTTCCCTGTAACGTCTCCCAGGCTGACATGCACCCTTTGCTTCCTCAGGAGATGAGCGTGGGCTACGCCAATGGCATCCGGGTCATGAGCATGACACACACAGGGGAGCCAGGCTTCATGCTTTACATCCCAATCGAGGTGAGAACCTGCGTCCCACTGGGCCCCCGAAATCGAGCAAGGCTTTCTTAAAGAGATCATGAAATATTTAGCTGAGTTAATATATATATGTGGGTTTAAAAAAGAAAGAAAAAATTATTCTGTGCCACCATCAGTGATAACAGTATTCACTTTGCCTGCTTTATCGGCTTTATGTAGAGAAGTAAGCAATTTCAAAGACATTCTTACTCCTCTGTCTTTCGCCGCATCATTTTCTTTTCGGTGAAAATGGGCCCAGCTGTCATACACCTGTGCAGCAGTGTCTCTGTGCACAGTGCAGTGACACAGTCACTCAGGTACAGTCCTCAGGTGGTATCTCCGCTCTCACCCCTTCATCCCTGCTGCTTTCATCACCATTGATTCATCTGTGCACTGGGATTACTGTTGTCGGTTTGGTGGGACAGAAATAATTCTCAAAAAGAACATGATATTCAAGGCAAGCTTTCATTACTGATCCTGCTAATCTGTAGTTTAACTCAAGGTGACTTTAGGAGACAGTTGGGGTTCAAGGCTCAGAAGTTTTCTCAGGACCACAGATTCAGGAGTTCTTACAGGTTACCCCCTTTTTTTAAAACCCCACAAAATGGAAGCGTACTGCTGTTCATCTTGATGTTAGTTTTGGTTTAATTTTTTGTTTGTCCCAATCATTTCTCTTAGAGAGCTTCTCATGCCCATACATGCAGAAAAAGAACTTCGACTTTATTTAAGCATTGAGCTCTGTTCGTCACGTGGTTGAGATGTAATTTCTTTGGCCCCAGCTCTTTGCTCTTGGAGAGAACTGCTTAGTGCACAAGATTACCTCTTCTAGTTCATTCCAGCACAGAGCCATCAGACCTCAGGCTTCCTGACAGGATGATGTGCCCCACTGCTCCCGGCTGTGGAGGGGGGAGTCATCCTGTGAAGGCAGACTCCTTTGAAATGCTGGCTGATAGGCCATCCACCACCCCCAGACGTATTCTGTGTCTGCTTCTGAAGTGACTCCTGCTTGCTAACCTCTTTCTCTCCCTGTAGTACGCCCTGCACGTGTACAATGAAGTGATGAGTGTGGGACAGAAATACGGCATCCGGAATGCTGGCTATTATGCTCTTCGCAGTCTTCGAATTGAGAAGTTTTTTGCCTTCTGGGGTCAGGATTTAAATACCTACACGACACCCCTGGAGTGTGGACGGGAGTTTCGGGTGAAGCTAGAGAAGGTACTGTTTTGTAACTGTGTCCCAATGTGCGCTCAGACTCCCATATGGTGAAATCGGCAGAAGGCGGGTGTAGACAGGCTGGTATGTGAAGAAAAACAGATGAAACAAATGAGTAGGAAACCAGCCAAAGCCCCTGCGGTGGGTCCATCCCAGTGCACAGCACCGCTTCAGGACAGGCGTGCGCCTGGGCTTTCCGGGTGTGGAGACAAGCAGATGACCTCATCTTTTTCCTGAGTGGCTGGTGAATTCAGACTGCTGGCCTTTCAGTTAGCAGCCCCACACTTAACGCTCTGGACTCCCTAAACAGAGGAGCACATAAGTTAAATAACACATTTTTTTCCCAGCATTTGACTCTCTTTTACACTTCTGAGGGTTTTCTAAGCTGAGTATGGTAGTTACTTAATAGTCATAAATGTATAATTGGTCATTTTCTAGTCAACTGTCCAATTTTCTGTTTTAAAAATAATACGTAACACAAGGTTTGATTAAAAAAAATGTAAAGCAGAAAGCTGCATCCAGCCTCTGCCCTCAGCCCAGGTGCACCGTTCCCCCTCGTGTCTCCTTCCAGGAGCAAAGGTACATGCCAGCGTGGCAGCGTGTGCCCTTGCCGTCCATCGAAGCATTTCTCTCCCCTAGGGCATGGACTTCATCGGCCGGGACGCGCTGCTGCAGCAGAAGCAGAACGGGGTGTACAAGCGCTTCACCATGTTCATCCTGGATGACCACGACACAGATCTAGACCTCTGGCCTTGGTGGGGCGAGCCCATTTACCGAAATGGGCAGTATGTTGGCAAAACCACCAGCAGTGCCTACAGCTTCACCCTGGAGCGCCACGTGTGCCTGGGCTTCGTGCACAACTTCTCTGAGGACACCGGGGAGGAGCAGGTGGTGACGCCGGATTTCATCAACCGGGGAGAGTACGAGATCGACATCGCCGGGCACCGGTTCCAGGCCAAGGCCAAACTCTACCCCTTCAGCTCGCTCTTCACCCACAAACGCCGGAAGGAGGACATGGAGTTAAGTGACTTCCACGGGAAGTAATCCCAGGAGTCCCTCCTTCGCACAGGAGGACACCTTAGAAGCATCTCTTCCTCCCTCCTTTTCTGACCTTCACCTTCCTCTTCATCATTTAAAACTTTACTTATTTTAAATCTTTTTGCTTTCAAGTCTGTGTGTACGTCTGCTCCTCCTCTCTCTGTCTTTTTCTGTCCTGATACTTGGTCTAGGCTTCTCTTCCGCCTTTCCCTACAACCGTTGCACGTCGCCATGATAACAGAAGTCTGTCCGACAGTCAGGACAGGAACAGGCTTCTTGTGGGAGTGGCTTCAGATGATGATTGACTTCAAATAATGTGGCTCCCCCCAGGGAGGAATGCAGTCTTGGGACAAAAGGTCCTCTCCTCTCCGGCCAGCTAACCGTCCTCAGAGTCGCCTGTTCATTTGGCGGGGTTGCTGGTGTCGGCTCAGGCCTGTAGAGGAGCTGTGCCTTTCAGCAGACAGGTGGTGCCCCTGTGCCATTGCACTATGGGTTCAGCACTGGACGCCTCTGCGAGAGGACCCTCATCTACCTCACTGACAGGCGGCTTGGCGTGGACGTTACCTGGTCAGCAGCAGAGACAATGGTTAACCTGGACCCGTCTTGTCCTCTTCACAACCAGTTGTCTGAGCTTTGGGCAAAGTCAGTCCTGTCTATATTTCTATCATTTCCTTCATCTCTTGTTAATCTTTATAACAAGTAATTCTTTTAGCTGAGCAAACAAGTAAGCTGCAGTTTTTCAAAAGGAAAAAACATGTTGCCTTTTGTGTTACTTTTTCCATTTGAAGGGTCTCATCTCAGAAAACCCACCACCGCCATCCGCACTGCTTTTCTTCCACCAGTACAGAGTTCTACAGGGCGCTCTGGTGGTTTAGTGGTAAGAAGCAGTGCTGCAATCTCAAAGGTGTGCAGTTTGAATCCTCCACTTGCTCCTTGGGAGAAGGATGGCCAGTCTCCTCCCCTGCAATTTCCTGCCTCTGAAAACCTGCTGGAGGGTCAGCTGTAGCTTGGTTCCAACTCAGTGGCACTCAGCAGCCACAACATACAGGTTTCAAGTGTCCCTCTCCTGTTTCCTCTCCTCCAGGTACATCTGAAATCACTGAGTCACCCTCACCTGCGCCTCTTATTAGTAGAGGACAGGGACGGGAAAGTGGGCAGAGTGCCCCGGTTGAGTAAACTTTGGCCGTGTTGAGTCCAGTTTACTGCTAGAAGCCCAGGATGGCTTTCTCTGAGACAGCAAATGCAGCCTCAGGGTGACCCTCAGCTCTCCCAGAGCAAGTGCAGCATGGAGGGAAAGGAGGTACAGAGGCCTAGAGAGGCCACCCTGCCCTCCTGCCAGGCATTTCCCTTCTCCCCAAGCATTCTTGCCTCTCCTTGTGGAATAGAAAGCAGTGTAGTGTGCCCCAGGAGAGCCCTGCGTACTGTTGAGTCTCTTGTTTTCTGAAGGTAACATTTCTATTTCACAGACTACGCAGACTACTTGCAACACTTCATTTTCTCTTGGGTCTAGACAGCTTCAGTGGCTTCGATTTTTCTTTCTCATTAGAGCAAACTGTGACATCATGCTGGGTAGAGTGGAAGGACGGTGCAGGAGGGGAAGACCCTCTATGAGGTGGATTGATTCAGTGACTGGGGTAATCGGGATGGGTGTGTCAGGCAATGAGATTGGCACAGGATAGAGCAGGGTTTAGGGCTGTTGTACATAGGGTCGCTATGAGTCGCAAACGACTCGACGGCACATAACAACAACAACATGTTCAACTGAGCCTTGTTGTCTTCCTTTCTCTGGGACTGTACAGTATGTTAAAGAGAGTCCTTTGATTTTATTAGTGCAACTTCACATTCTCAGGTGTTGGCGTTCCCTATCATTTGTTTGGGAATCTCGTTTTACCCACTTATGCTGGCACCTCTCCCCCTCTAGCCATTTCTTGCCATTTCCTCAGCCAGCCCATCCTACCTGAAGACTGGCTGTAGTGTCCAGCCTTTTAGGGATCTCAGCTCACTTGTTAAGGGCCATATGATTAGAATTCTGTCTGCGAGCCTAGCTGTTTTGGATCAAGTGTGTGTATCTGTAGCTGAGAAATCCTTCTCTGGTTGGAAGGGAGAGACAAGTGTCACTTCCCCAGAGAGCAGAGCAGTGACTGAGCTGTGAAGGACTTGGACAAGTGGGGCTGGACATTTGACCGTGTGTAGTAGTTACACCAGCAGGGAACCTGCTCTCCTGAGAAGGTGGAGGCCCAGCTGGCCTGGGATGTGCCAGGTACGTAGACAGCATTTGCACCAGCCGAAGTCGTCTTTGTAAATGAAAGCTGATGACTGAATCCAAAAGAAATTCTTACCTTGTGCATAGATTTTACTCTTCCAGCCCTAAATGTGACAGTGTATTTAATGTTTAACTGTAAACTATAAGAGCGTTCTATTATTCATAAAGTCCAAATTGGAACACTTTAAATCCTTTCCCCAGTTTAAAACTGGGGTAGGCCATCATTGGAGTATGTAACTTAAATAGGGGTTCTGTCAGAAGTACGTTAAAAAAGCTTTATGTCTTTGGAATCCTCTTTCTTGCTCTCACTCATCTCTAGCTAACTGCGGTTTTCTAAGAAATAGGAAGTTAAGCCACCGCTGTGTCCAGAGCCCTGCAGTGACTTTGTGGTGACCCAGAACTAGAATTCCTGACCTTTTCCTTGGAGCCATCGACACAGTTTGTCTCTTGCTGGGAGAAGTGGGTGGGGCAAGCACCCAGGATGTGATTTGAAAACATCTTTTCCATAGTGTCATACTCCTGAGACTGTGGCAAGAGTCATTCTTCAGCCTACTTGTTTCTCTCTTGGCCTTTAAAATCCATCCTGAGGTCTCTTGGTTCCTGGGCGTATGGGCCATGTGAATCTGGTGTTTGTGTTTTTGGTCCTGGTGTGAACGCTTTAAACCGGCAGAACTGAAGGATGAGCACCTCCTGCCCTGTCTGGTGTTTGTGCTTCGGAAATGGCAGGGAAAGAGGTGAGGGCGGTTAAGCCCCCTGACCCACTGGTGTTGCAGGTACTCTGAACTCCCCAGGAGCCCTGAGGAAATAGGGTTGCCGATAGGCAGGCTAGGTCCAGAGGCCTGGCTGCAAGTCCAGCAGGAAGCAGGGACATTCGGAGCAAGCACACTCACTTAATGTCATGTCCATCTCCTGGGCAATAGGGGCACAGATAGGACAGCTCATCCTGGAGAGCCAGCAGGGCTGTCCTCCACAGATTCACAGGCTGGAACTGAATTTCCGATGACTGGATCCTTCTTTCCTCTCTGAAATTCTAAATCCTTTCTTCTGCTCTCCATGGTGGAAGGCCTCTGCATTCCTCTCCTGTCTTGCCAAACACATTCAAGTAAAGAACCTTTGTTGAGTCAGGGACAGACAGTGAGCTGGTCACAAGGAGGAGTGCTGTCTGTCCTATGTGAGGCTTTGTGTTCTTGGAACTGGCTTCTGAGTACACATGTCACACAGCCCCGGGCCTCCCTTCTCCCCATCACTCGTGCTGCATTTAGATCTGTTTCCTGAGTCTGCCAGGGTCTTGTGACATTGTTGTGAGACTACTTCAGAGAGCTCTCTCTGTTCGGTAATTCATATTTTCACCGAGAAGTTTAAACAAGGAAAAAGCCCCCTTCCATGATGCTGGCACTAAGGTCCAAAAGGTTCTGTCATTCAGAGTGTTGAGTGTTTGAACTACAGGAATCATCGGCTGCCAGCTTCTGACCGGGACTGCAGTCAGGTGCACCAGGCTCTTCTAGTGATCCCTGAGTCCCAAGCCCCAGGGACATCAGGGCACAGACACCATCCAGCCTGGTGGAGATATATTTTCAAGTTGGTGCCAAAGACTCCATTCCTGCTCAGTCACCTTGAGTTTGGTTTTCACCAGAGGACAGGCTTCCTTACCTCCCTTCCCAGGCTGTTTCCAGCAAAGTCACTAAAACCTGATAAAAACTAGGAATCCTCCATTCTCACAGCACATTTCCCTGCCTTTTCATGCACTTGAAATTTGGCTGCATCTTCCGGCACCACTACCACAATGTCTGTGGTAGGGGCAGGATGGGAATAATAATTTCCCAAGTGTTGACTGCTTCTCTGAGATGAAGACCCACAGCTGTGATTTCTGGCTCTGCTGCTGTGGCTAATGGACATAGTTTTAGGCATTTGAGCGAGTTCGCCATCCTTCTATGACGTGGAAGGCAATCTCTGACCTGCTGACCCTGGAACATGGCATCCTGGTAGAGCAATGGCTTTGACTTGCTTTGAGGGGTAGCTGCAGGGTTCGTGTTCATATGCCTTTACTTCTTCTTAACCAGCATAGTAAACAAGGGGCTAGGGGAGAAGTCTTGGTATCAACCTGAGAAGGACCATTTTCTCATGAGTAAAGAATTTCCATCTTGTGCATGCCATTTGCGAGCCCCTGGGTTTAGGAGAAACACAGCTGAGGAGAAGTGGCAGATGAAATAACAGGATGTTTGAGGCATCAGCTGTGGCCTGTGCACGTGCTTATTGTGTAGTGGTAAGAAAGGGGCGAAAGGTTCTGTCTGCGCCTCCCACCCCATCACCACCAATGGCCTCCACTTAAGGTGCTGCGTTGTATGGGCCCTTCGTGGTCAGTATCAGGCTTGTCATCCAGAGTCCTCTGTCGCCACCTGGTCACTGTGTCCAGGAGGACTCTTTTTTTTTTTTTTTTTATATTTTGCTGTGTCTCTGTTACACTCCAGAGTTATTCCTTGTAAAGGAGGACTCACAGAGTCTGCATCTCTCAGAACTGAGCACTTCTTCATGGATCATTTTCCTCATGATGTTTTGGTGCATCTATTTTTATCCTTTGCAGACTTATCCTCTGCCTTCTTGTTTTCCTGTCTCTCCAGGACAGGGATGGCAGGAGATGGGGAGGATATTTTTAGCATCCGTTTTAAAAGATCTATGCCAGGATTTCCTTTGCACACCGCGAACTCAAGCTTGGAGCCCCTCTTTCCTCTAAGCCCGGTTCTAGTGCCTTAACCTGCTGAATGTCAGGTGGTGGACAGGCACCGAGGGAGGAGCTTCAGCAGGCTGCGAGTCTCCATCCACCCCATATAGCCTCTCCCGGAACAGATGGAGCTTCAGAAGCCGAGTTTCC